TGAGAATGTTGGAAAAGAAGAAGGAAAGAAAACAATAGTACTGTTAGACATTCCGTAGATAGTAGGTAGCTTGGCAATTTCATTGTAAGAAAATAATACTTATGATCATTTAAATAAAAAGTTTAGCAAACTTTATTGGCCAAGCTAAGTTTTCTGGGGAAAATGAATAAGGCTTGTCTCCAACCCTGACCTTAGCAGCTGCAGGTTGGACTCAGCTGGTCTCTCTTGCAGTTGTCCCCTCGCCTTCCTAGTTCCCAAGGCCCAGGGAGAAAATGAAGGCCGTCTAAGTCAGAAGTGTAGTAGAGTTTGGCATCGAAGGGGTATGTGATCTTTGAGGATCCCTTTGGCTCAGAAACATGCTAATGACTTATTTCTGTGATTTTTGTTGAAGTGAAGAGAATCAAAGGCCTCATGGAATATGACAGAAAACTAAAGGTGAGATTTAGCATTATGCCTCCTGGAGCATGTTCAAAACTGCTCCACATCTGCATACTTCCTCCCCACCTCCCCTCACCATTGCTTACAATAGCTGGACCTTTTGGAGACATTATTGCAACATGGAGGGAGGTGGGAAATCCTATGGCCATCCCAAGAGTAGGATGGGTCATGGATATTTAAGACCTCAAACAGTACCTAGAAAGATTGTCCATGAAAGACGGCCCAGGTATCCACTTCACTCAGTTAATGAGAGCAAGGGCTACCTGAGCAAGGGAAATATTAAATTGACATGAGACAGATTAACAGGAGGAGATCAAACAAAGTTTAATAACATGCATACATGGGAGAAACCCAGGAAAACTGAGTAACTATCATCAGGTGAATCCTCAGCTAAAGAAAAAAGACAATGTTGGGGGTGGGGAGAGTCTGGGACTTCAAAGGGAAGGAAGGCAATTCACAGGTAGGTGAAAGAGAAGCAAATGTTTGGAAAACAAGTGTATATTTGGCCACACAGAAACAGAAGAATACAGAGAGAGCCCGACAAACAGGCTTTTCTAGGTTCCTCCCTGTGTACCACCTAGTTCATGTTATGCTGAGTTGATAGCTTCCTGAGACAGGTTTTCTTTCTCAATTCTTTTAGGCAGTTAAAGGGGAGGTAACGAGAAAAACTTTCTGAGTCTTTTGTTTCTTAAAAATAGTCAGCTAAAATAATTCTCACGTTGAAGAGATACATTTTGGGGCAGCAAATGGTGTTTGCCTTCTTCTCAGTCCTTTGGAAACTGGGGCTGGCAGACTATAAAGAGAGATGTATGCAGCTCTGGTGTTAACTTCGTTTTGCACTTGCCTGAAAACAGAGTGACAGTTGCATGATTACAGTAGAGGCAGGAGGAAAAAACAGAGATATGAGCCTGTTCTTAAAGAAAAGGAGATAATACCAACAGCTCCTTTGGAAGTAAAGGAAGAGATGTGTGATCTGTTTTTTTTTTTGTGACGAGAAGGAAAAAAGTCTGCGCAGTAGATAATAGGAGCCATCTTCTTGCATAATGATTTAAAAGGACCTTTTAAAAGTTCTTTGCCAAAATTCTGAGTAAAAGAGATCAGGACCCATTATGCCCAGGATTCTCATTATTCCATCTCTGCTCCACTGTTTGATTTCCAGCATGAATAACAGGTCACCATTGAGGCGGATTCTCCAGGAAACAAAGAAGATGAAAAGGATGATCAAGAGATGCATCAAAAAGGGTACAGGTTTCAATCAGAGAAATAACCACACCTACCTCCTAAACAGAGTGGTTTTTTTATCCTCATCTAAATTTTAATGTTTATTATGGTTTATCAGAGATAGTCGCCACCACCAATCTCCTCTCCCCATTACCCACCCAGCGCTATGTTCAGAAAATTAATGGAGCTCTATCATAATCAACATGGAAAATTCAAACAACTGATGTCCATAGAAAGAGGAGGAAAATAAGGCCTCTACCCTCCAGGTCCTTCTGACTCGTCTACGTATGAAATTGACATAAGAGAATAACAAGACAAAATCAAACAGAGCTTATAAAATGAATACATGGGAGAAACCCAGGAAAACTGGTTAGCTCAGCCAGAATGGCTGAAGCCGCCACCTCAAATAACATCTTTAACTAAAAATAAAGGAGGGTGTTGGGGGGAGTGGTTTGGGACTTCAAAGGAGAGGAAGGCAATTCACAGGGAAATGGAAAAGTAAATGTTTGGTAGACAGAACTTTGATAAGAATGGGCTTAGCAAGGCCCTTCACAGTCTACTGATACCCAGAGTTATCTATGGTGACAGTCTGTCCTCGGGGACAGGTCTTTTATCTTAAATTTCTTTTAGGCAGTTAGGGGGCAAGTCAAAATTTCTTTCAGAGTCTTTTGTTCTTAAAAATAGTCAAGCCAAAAAGATACAATTGGGAGCAGCCAATTCTGATCCCCTACCTGGAACCCAATATCCAGACAGTCTTCTAATTAAAGGTGTAAATTACTGACTAATTGCTCCAGTCCATACTAAGTAGTTAATTCATCTTCTCAATGTCAATCAACAAGCAATTGATTTGTCAAAACCCCATCCATTTCAAATCCCAACAAACTTGCTCTTACCTTGTAGTATCCTGAAGGTATTCCAGGTCCTGATCACCCATTAGGTGGGAGAGGCAAATTACTGTCTTTAGTTTTTGACCAGGAAAATGAAGCTCAAAGAAGTGACTTACCCAAGGTTAGTCAGCTAGAGTGGAACAAAGCTAACTTACAACATCAGCTTCTGATTCCTAGTCCAAGACTGTCTGGTACTCCATCATAACACCAAAGTATTTGCCAATATTCTAAATTCCTCTTTAAATTTGATTTAATTCCTAAGGCTCTGAGGAACTTTGTTTTCATGTATCAGAAGATATCTCTGGAGTTGGTCAGAATTAGGATTGGACTCTCTTATCACATATACACCATCAAGAAGACTTACCATGTGATAAACCTGAGCTTAGTTTCATCCTTCTCTTTACTTTCTGAGTCTCTGATGCTGGGGGCTGAGAGATTCTCTTGGGTGGCCAGAGGCACTCAGGTTTCACCAATGCCAACGGGATGGAAACAACCCCCAGGGGATTGGGAGGTGTTCACTCCAGAAAACCAAATGGCCAAGCGTGTTTCTGCCTATTTTATTTTGTGCAGTGTCAGCTTGCAGTAATGAACTGCACACATTCCCTGAAATTACGAAATCTGATACATCCACCCTAAAGCAGGTGGGCGCTCCCTATTAAATGCTGCCCTTCACCACTGCTGCTTGTTAACACTATGTCCACGACTGAGGATAATGCATCACCAGCCTTTCCTAAATTAGACCATGAAAAACTTAGTCTTTTCTACACTATATTCCTTCAATATCTTCTAGAATAGTGTTTCTAATTCTCAGTACACATATTCACACATGATAATGACAAAAGTTTCATGAACTATATCTGCCATCACTCTGTGTGATACACTCTGAGATGTCCTCTTCTCCCTTTTAATGAGGGTTATCATGCCCTGTGTGACTTCACAACCCACTAATGGGTCCCAACCCACAGCTGTCAAATACTGTTCCAGAAAAGCAATGTACACTCCCATTGCATGCATCCAGTAATTCAAAAAATGCCTGTCAAGCATCGTCAGTGTCCCAGCTGCTGGTGCTGTAGGGCTCACAGACATTCATTTTCCAGGAAGTTATAGTCAGTCTAGACTCCATAAGAAAACACAATCAGAGAAGACAGTAGGAAGAATGTGCAGAGGATGCCTCTGCCTGAGCAGATGCAAGAAGGCTTCGTAGAAGCAAAGGCCTGAGCTGTGCCCTGAAACCTGAAGTGAGCTAAGACCTGGACATGTGGGCATGACTGTGGGAAGGAGGGGACTGGAGGCCTTAACCAAGGGGAAGGGGGCTTCCAGCCAGGGCCAGGGTCCTGTGAGGTCCTGGAGATTGAGAACCTTCTATACGGGATGAGAAGGGCTTATTTTAGAAATGCTGTCCAGTGGCAATGGTTAAATGTGAGAGTAAATTCCTTCCAGCCAGCCTCAAGCAGGAGAAGGAGAGGCCTCTGTTCGATGCGTCATTGATGACAGAGGCACCTGCAGGAAAGCCAGGTCTCAGAGCAGGTCTGGAGGGGACTGGGAACATCCCAAGAGAAGTAGAGGACAATTGTTGTGGGTACAGCCCTGTGGCCTCTCCACACTCACTCACTGGTGGACACTTTCCTCCTCACAAGAAATGATAAGATACAAACATTGTTCCCATACTACCTGTACAAATTGGTGACCCAGATGGCCCCTCTGGCCTTCTGTTCTTCCAATGATTTGGTTTCCAATGGACAGAGAACCCATTCATGCCACAGGAGGTGGGACCTCAGGGGGAGGGACTTTCTACGCCGTGTTGATGCTGCCAGCTTGGCATGGCTTCCCCACTGGGAGACCCAATGACCACTCTGAGCGTTTTGCTCCCAGAATCTCCTGAAGGAGGTCAGTGGCGCCAACCTCACGGCACAACTATAAGCATTATTTCTTTAAGTTGTCTCATAAAATCAGCTGCCTGAACCTTGGGTATAAGGCTGCCCCAGCCTTGAGTTTGAGTCCCAAGGTCCGCATGTTGGAGCCTGGCTTCAGGGTTCGGATCTCCGTCTGGAGGTGGCCTGGCTCAAGGGAGTAATAGTCTCCATGTGGTTGGAAGGATTGCGCGACCCGACCACCCCGGAAGAACCGATGCTCAGCTCTGGCCAACAGGAGCCATCCCTGCTGATTAGTCATTGGGCAGTGAGGGCTTGAAGCCCATTTGAGTTTGTCACTGCTGGGGCTTGAAGCCCGCTTGAAGGCCCTTTGGTGTTTTGTGCTGTGTCAGTGACAGAAGGAGCTGGTATCTGGACTCACAGAGTCTGAGTCTTATCTTGTAACTGTGGTACAAGGTGGGGTTAGGTCCCTGCAGTCTGAGTCTTAACTGCTGAGCCATCTGGAACAAAGTGGCTGGGCGCGCCCAACAGAGGATCCTCGTACCCCTCTGTTTCCTCAACAGACGGGCTTCCAGGCCTCTCGGATCTCTCTGTCTCAGTTTCTTTACCAGCCGTTCTTGGGGAAACTCAACGCCCCCATTCTTCTTTCCCTCACACTTCCTGCTGGAGAGGTTCCGTCGGCCTCTCCTCTCCCAGATCGGACCTTCCTGGGGTCCTTAGTCTCCTTAACTGTCCTCCTTCGAGAGGGCGACTTTGGTTTTGCTGGTGGAAGAAACGAGGCTCAGAACTTGAGAAGACATCTGAGGTGAGTCACGGAACTCGTAGATGACAGGGCCAAGGTACTTGCCCTCCCAGCACTTGGTCCGGTTTTTGTTTTACTGGATATTGGATCTGTGAGGTTTTTTGTTGTTTTTGTCTTTGCACTAACCTTTTCCAACAGGACTGGCTAAAAATGATGGGATTTATGTAAAATGATTACATCTCTTTTGCCTAATTATATTTTAAACTACACTGTGGGGATTGTGAGCACATATAAATCCACCCTTCAGGCAATGTTAATTAACCATGCTAAGTGAGACCTCTCCTTAAATTGGCCAAAATGGAGCAAGATCAGTTGACTGAAACTGGTGTATTTGCATTCAGAATTGGAGACAAAGCTGGCTATAAAACATTAAAAACCAATGGGAAGCCTATTTTAATTTTTTTTTTTTTTTTTTGGTGCTGAAGATTATCCTGAGCCAACATCTGTGCCAGTCTTCCTCTATTTCACATGTGGGATGCTGCGAAAGCGTGGCTTGAGGAGCAGTGTGTAGGTCCACACCTGGGAAACACACCCTTGAACCACGAGCCACCAAAGCAGAGTGTGTGAACTTAACCACTACACCACTGGGCCAGACATGCCTATTTTGATTTTTGAGGCTTCTAAACATGTTCCAAATCCTGTACTGCCTCTTTAAGAAAAAATAACTAAATAAATGTGCTGGGGAAAGGACACCCAATCTGCTGCTCCTCCCTCCTCTCTAGCTGGGCTCCCCTGCTTCAGCTTCGCCAAAATTCCACATCTGAAACTAAGCAAGTGAAAATAGGTAACCTTTTAAAAGTTTTTTAAAATTGTAATGGTCATTTTGGGAAACTTTGTTCCAGAAAAGTCCACCTTAAAAGAGAGTATTCCAAACCTCTCACAGTGGCATGCATTCTTTGATTAATTCACAGGTGCTGCTTAAAGATAAAATGACTTTAAAACCAGCTATAAAACAGGATCCTTAGAGCAAAAAGAAAAACAATCTTTAAGACAAATCTTTAGCCATCTGAAGAGGTCACAATTTGGATCCAGCATTCTTTTAAATTTTGTGCCTGAGACGTGGCTGAAATTTTTAAAAATCTCTGTTTCTGATTGTCTACCTGTCTCTGTGTATGTGTCCAGATGGTGTCATTTCTAAAGAGAGCTCTATTTAATTGACTTAAAATAAGCGCTTATATAAATTATTTCTAAATGTGATAAAAACTAGCCCAGATTTCTCTCAAGTTGACTTGATCTAAAATGATCTTTGGTAAATAAAAACTTGTTTAAGTTTGTTGGTTTAATTAAAGTAGACATGTCCTCAGAGTTATCAACATAGCATGTAATGTAAACACACAGCCTTCATGAGTCAAACAAACTCGTGTTGTCTCTGTTACAAAATTTGTCAACAAAACTAATAACTTAAAATAATAGCTAATTTTGTCTGATAATTCATAAAGTTTTTATAGGTAATCTAAACAATCTTTGGAAACAGGTAAACTAAACAGATGTAAAAAGGTAAAAGCTTTGGGGAGAACTTTTAACGTTAATCATGTCATGTAACATATGTTCTTCAACAACTTAAAATGACGGCGAACTGCTCTGGTGTCACATAAAGACATTGTGAGTAATCTGGACATGATCTTTAACAACAAATGTCTTAAATGTGAGGTAAGAGTTTATGGATAGACTTTTAACAATAATTATATTTTATAACATATGTATTTAGAATAACTTCCAAAATCTTTTTGGTAAGTTAAAACTTTTAAGTTTTACTCAATTAAATTAAATGATAAAAATTCATTAAATAGCAAGATAATTTCCAAGTAAGATAAAATATCAGATAAAGGTTAATCTACTTCTGGCTTCTTATTACAAAAAAACTAAAAGATGCTCAAGTCTATTAGTAAACTCGTCCTATATTTTATTAAAAGATTGTACCACGAAGGAGCATGTTTCTAAAATTTATAAAAAGCTTTTATAAATATACCAGGCTACAGAATACTAATGTAAAAGACAGTATGTAATTACTTACCTCTTAGTTTTCACAAACAAAATCAAAGTCTGTAAGGGCTAAAATTCTGATTAATACATGTGATTAAAGCTACTAAAAGTTGGGCCTGGCCCCATGGCCGAGTGATTAAAGTTCCACACTCTCTGCTTTGGTGGCCCAGGTTCTCGGGTTTGGATCCCGGGCACGGACCCACTCCACTCACCAGCCACACTGTGGAGGTGTTGCACATACAAAATGTGGAGGAAGATTGGCACAGATGTAGCACAGGGCGAATCTTACCAGCAAAATAAGTTACCAAAAGTTAATAAGGGAAACATCTTCGTATTCAAGGAAAGTAAAAGGTATGTTTTCAGTAAAGAAGACATAAAGAATAGAGATATTTTTACTTATTTCATCAAAAAGATAAATCTGTCTTACATTACTAGGGAAAAAAAGGAGGAAGACATGGAACAAATTCTAAATGTAAGAAGCAAGTGACAGAAGGTTTGTGAAAGTAAAAACCCCAAGAAAAGAGTTTTATACATACTCAAGTTTACTAAGGTTAAAATAAATTCAATTAAATAAATGAGTTTCTGTATCAAAAGTAATTTACAAAATTAAAAATGTGGCTCTCTCTCTCTTAAAAGGATAATCTTAAAGTTTGGTCCACTCTTGATAAAGAGATTATGAAAGATTTTTTTTCTTTACTTTTGAGTGAGTCTACTTACAAGACAGAAAATCTATTTTTGCTTAAAATAATTTGTTATGCTCAAGGAAGCTGAAGTCTCTCTATTGGGGTTTTCGTTTTAGACTATTTCACTCTCTCTGTTTGCCTGTGACATTTTCTGTTGTCACCTTGATTAAATGGATAACTAAACATTATTTCCTATTTGACCAAGTGTTTTAAAACCTTTTGATATTTTTTGACAAATTTCCCTGAGGTTCAAACCCTAAGTAAAGTCTTTCTTTTGAGGGGTTTCCAGTGGGGCCCTGAGGACTTCTCAAAAAGTTTGGTCTCTTTATTTTGTGAGGAAGATTGGCCCTGAGCTATCATCTTGTTGCCAGTCTTCCTCGGTATGTTTGAGGAAGATTGTTGCTGAGGTAACATCTGTGCCAATCTTCCCCTATTTTATGTGGGGTGCCACCACAGCATGGCTTGATGACCAGTGCTAGGTCCAAGCCCAGGAACTGAACCTGTGAACTCCAGGCCATCAAAATGGAGCACACAAATTTAACCACGATGCATTGGGCCAGCCCCATTCTCTCTTTCCATAAAGAGGGCAATATTAGACTAGTTAGGCTTATTTGTTGTATTAAATTACATAAAAATTATCAAATAAATAATAATAAACCTTCTTAGGTTATATCAGGTGGGTAAATGTTACTGGTATAAGTGGTTCTTGACACCTGTTTCACATCTCAAAGTGCTCCAGATATCTGTAGGAAACTCCAAAAACTGACAATAGGCCTGATACCAGTTCTGTGCAGTTAGTGGAGGTGGCCTTCAGGGTGCTCAACACCCAAGATATGACAGAAGAAATGAAAGATGACCAAGAGATACAGAGGCAAGCAACTCTGCTCACATGGCCCTCCAGTTTGCTCGAGGTCACCCGAGGGAGAAGAAGATGCCACGGGTGAATGACCCTGACCCCCAGTGGAGGACCAGAGGCCACCAACGAAGTTGGGGCCTAATCAGCATGCAACTATAGACATGAAGGGCATTGAGATAGTCCAAACCAACCCGAGAGCAGGAAGGGATTGGACAAGACCAAGGCATGGCAACTGCCCATGACTACAGATGAGATGTGATGGGGCCGTGGACCTCCAAGTTTGGCTCCAGGAAACTAGATCCTCATCTTCAGGTAAAGTTAGCAGTGGGAGAAGAGCATGTGGAAATTTTGCTCGATACTGAGGCCACATTCCTGGTGTTAAATACCCAAAAAGGAAACCTTTCAAAAAAGAAAATGTGATATACAAGGAGTATCAGTAGAGGAGAGACCAGAAGGTTTCTGGAGCCCTTGACCTGTGAAATAAGATCAAAAACATTAAGATGTTCTTTTCTATATATACCAGAATGCCCTCTTCCTCTCCTCAGGAGGGACATGTTATCAAAACTAGGGGCCTCAATACACCTGGAACAAGACAAAATAGAAATCCAAGTTCCCAAAAATCGGGAAGTCAAGCTCATGGCCCTGTTACAAAACACACCAGTACCTGAAAAGGAAGAAATTCCCCAAACATTCTAAGCTGAGTCAACTCAGAGGTATGGACACAAGGACAAATAGGATAGGCGGTCACTGCCATTCCTGTAAAGGTGAACTTAAAGCAGATAGACTACTGGCTTCTCACATAACAATGCCCCCTAAAGTCAGAAGCCATAAGAAAAATCTTTCCGGTAATTGACAAACTTTTAAAACAAGGAATAATCAGGCCATGTAGATCCCCATGTAACATTCCCATTTTACTCATTAAAAAGCTGGGGAAAAGGGAATACAGATTTGTTGAAGGCCTTAGAGCTGTCCACAAAACAGTCCAAGACCCACATCCCGTAGGACCTAATCCTTACACCTGCTGGCTAATCTCCCTGGGACAGCATGTTTCAGACAGTGCCAGATTTAAAAGATGCTTTATTTTGAGTCCCATTGGACCCTGAGTCCCAAGAGATTTTTGCTTTTGAATGGAAGGACCCAGACTCCAGCCAGAAAAAACAATACTGCTGGGCTGTCTTACCCCAAGCATTTAAAAACTCCCCTACAATTTTAGGGGAAATCCTGGGCTGAAATTTAATGGAATTAAAATTAAAACAAAGGACTGTGTTATAGTATGTGGATGGCATCCTAGCAGGCAGTCCTTGTAAGAAAATCTCTGATGAGAGCATAGTGACCACGTTAAACTTCTTAGCCAGTAAGGAATATATATTTTCTAAGGGAAAAACACTGATATCTAAAGATACTGTAAAGTATTTGGGGTTTATTATTTCAAAAGGGCAGTGCCACCTTCCTCAAGAGAAGAAAATGGTAATATATCAACTTCTCCATCAAGAACATGTAGGCAACTATGAGGATTCTTGAGATGGCTGGGTTTTGCCACATATGGATCCCTAATTGGGGTTAATTGCTAAGCCTCTCTATGACAAATTACAGGGGCCAGAAATGGACCCCTTTGAAAGGGATGAGCTATGTGAACAAGCTTTCAATAAGCTTAGAAACTTACTAATAGAAGCACCTGCACTGGCCTTTCCAGACCTGAGCAAACCATCTGACTTGTACCTTCATGAAGGACAAGGAATAACTCTGGGAGGATTAACCCAAATGTTAGGACCCTTAAAGATAGTGATAGTCTATTTCTCACAGCAGCTAGACACCATGGCAAAAAGATGGTCCCCACGCCAGAGAGCTGTAACTGCCACCTGCCTGTTAACCAAGGATATGAACAACTTAGAGCCATGCCTCGTGACCCACAGAATTACCTCAGACCAGCGGGAAAAATTCTACTCCTCTAGTGACCCCTATGACAACACTCATGCTCAGGAGGAAGTAGTTACAGAAGATGCACCTTTGACTCATGCCCTCAAGAATGAGGAGCAGGATAAAAGTAGAGGAGGGATTCTGTCACCAGCCATGGACTGTAGCCTGCTTCTCTTGCCCTGCCTAAACTCTAACCTTTTGTGTTTGACCTAATTCTCTTGTCTTCTTGAAAGGTGCACACATTCCTATCTCCAACAGCTTTGGGGTCTTGAGCATATGCGCTTTCAGCTATGCCTGAGGAAGAAGCTGTAAGTGCCAACCGCCCTGGACCCAACCCCTCTGAACCAGACCAGACCAACAAGAATGACGCCTACGCAGACAGACGGGGAGTTGTAATAAAGTAATCTGCCCTCATTAACATCATAAATTCTCCTCTGGGAGGGACAAAGCAACCATTTTTAGATCACATGGTGCATGTAAATGAATGATTTCAAACCACATATGTGCAAGCTTCTGCCACCTCTACATGCGATGATAAAACTCCCCCTTTGAATATTCATTCCCTACCCCAAATAAAGGGACCCACCTCCCCATGCTCAGGGAGCCATAGCTTTGTGAATTATTCCCTATGTTCTCCATTTTCTTTCTAGCATGCCGCAAACAAAATTTCTTCTTCATGTGACAACTACGTCTGGTGTAGATTGATTAACTTGACAAGAAGGGGACACATGTTTAGTCTTGAAACATACCCACCATAAACAAACCCTATACTCATAACAAAACTCTGGACAGAAACAAAGACGTACCAACAATTTTAGAACTTTCTGAGAAAGCTATGTTACAACCTACTGGTTTAATAGCTCTCAGATCCACAAAATCCTATTTTACATTTCAAGCACCCAGTGAAGTCAGTCAGCCTCCCACTAAAAAGTATGGTGAGCGAGGACAGGGAACCACCAGCTTCCTCAAACTTTATGGAACCAGAAGGGATGACAGTTCATTGGATTTTTATTTTTTTTAAACTCAACATTTAACGACAGTTGCTTAAGCTAATTGGGCCTTCATAGTCCAGTGAGAAACACCCTCGTCCTATGATTTATTTTCAGCTTTTGGTTAGTTCTCCATGTTCCCTGCTCTATTTCCAGGAGCACATTTTCTCATCTCTGTAACCCCTCAAGGGCTGGCACATTCAATTCAGCAAATCACATCCATTCAGCAAAGGCACATCCAAGCCATGGCTGCTTTTAGTCTAAAATGAAGAGTTTCCCGTTTCTATATTGTAGGACACGCACTCATGAGTTGGGGAGTTTGCTTGCTTGATTTACAAAGCCACATCCAGCCTTAGCTGCCAGTTCATTTCATGATTTTGGTGTTGACTTCTGCCTGCCTTTTTGCTTTTGTCTTCTCACAGGCATCTGGAAAGGAAGTATGGTACAGTTCGGAATTTTTCTCGGAAACACAAAACCACCCTTCAGTACATCTTCTGGGGCATCTTATTAGCAGGTAAATAACAAGAGGGTGGGATAGAAGTGTCTCTTTTGGTGGATCCCCCAAATATGAGCTTTCTGTGGAAAGAAAATAAGTCTGCCCTCTCCCCTGGACCTCACAGAATCATCCAGAGAGGGAGAGAATCAATCAAGAAGGCCCTGGCGGTGGGGGGGGGGGGGGGGGGGGGAATCTCAGCGTGGGACATCTATGCAGAGTGGTTCCCTGTCAAGTTTTTGTACTAGCAGCTAACATTTTAGGTCCCCTACTCCTGTGGCCTTTGTGACTATGGTGTGGATTTGAGGGTTGGTTCATCACATCCAGGTAAGTGGAAAACATGGTGATAATCACAAGGTAGAGACAGAACTGCAGGGGAAATATAAGCACTTAAAACTCTACACAAACACAACACAAGGAGGAACCTGGGGTTAGGGAGCCCACTCCTCTTGCCTGAAGCCAGGACTGTACCATCCTCACAGATGAGCAGGTCTCCAGTTTTGCTCCCTCCCAAGCAAAGGGCTCTGCAGCCCATTTTAAAGGGCACTCTTGTCTATAAGATGGGATCCTCCCACCCAAGTCCAAAGACGTTAACCCAAGACCGCTGCTCCCCGAGGTCAGTAGGTCTGCTGGTACTCACACCGCAAGAACAGGGAACAGCCATAAACTTTCTGTCCAGGCCATACGGTGTCTCAGGCTTTGGACGCCATATGGTGAAACCCACATAACTCTGCCTTATAGGACAAAAGCACACAGACAGAGTGGCTGTGTTCCCATGAGACTTTATTTGTAGAAGACAGATACAAACATACAAATACAGCTGTACTTGCCACCTACGAAGCAGTGGCAGCCACATTTAACCTGCAGACACTGTTTGCTGACCTTTAACAGGAAACTTTGTTGTTCTTATCCTACAAACTCCTCTTTAAAAGCAGCCACCTTGGTAATTGCCCCACCCCGTCCCCTTTTCTGTAGAGATCCCGGAACACGTAGAGATGGTTGGTGGGCCTGTTTTCCTACTCAAGCTTAGGCCAAATCTGAGCTGCAAACCAGGAGAATCAATACCTTTAGTCAGTGGTTGCTTCAACTCCTGGCCTTTCTCTCACGGAAGCTCACCTGCCAAGTCTGAATGCCAGAAAAAAGTGGTTAGTACTGCGTGAGAGGCTGGGTGATGAAGTGTCAGGATTCGAGAACTCTTAGGTTCTATAAGCGAAAAAGACCTAGCGTGCTGTCCTCCTAGTGTTCATGGTGACACTGTTAGGGACTGGCTTGGAAAAACAAAAAAATCTCCCAAAATACACTATTTATAGTCAGAGGAGCCCACAGCCCTATCACAACCACTCCCACCTTCAATGGTCCCTCGACTGAACCTCCCCTTGACTGAGCCGATTGGTGCTGTGGCTGGTGTCCAGCTTGTGCTGATGGTCCCCGTCTGCGTTTGCTTCCTGGCAGGTTACCTGGCTATGGTGATCGCCGCGTGTGCCCTCAACTTTCAGAGAGCCGTTCCTCTGTTCGTGATCACTGTGGCTGCCATCTTCTTTGTGGTCTGGGATCACTTTATGGCCAAATATGAGCATCAAATTGAGGAGCTCCTGTCTCCTGGCAGAGAGTTTCTGGACGACCATTGGTCCTGGCTGAAGTGGTAAATGCAGTTGGTTCTCTTACTGCTGTTGAAGGGGAGCTTAGTCTTTTTGAAAACTCTTCCAAAACTGTGTTCTGAAATTGCTTCCTCATTTATGGATATTGAAGCTAGAGACAACCAATGGAATAATCCGTTAAAATGCCTTCCTTTTACAAACATGAAATCAAGGCCTTGGTAAGGTAATGACACATTTGAGATGTGTTCAAATGTCCCTACAAACTTCCTTAATTTAAACTGTCACTAAATGATAAGATGTTGTCCAAAGGACAGGATGGTTCTCACTTGGGGAGGTGACCCTCTGCTCTAGGCACAAAGCTGGTCTCCTTGGGAGGAAGGGTCTGTGAATTATTACAGCCAAACCTCTCCTACAGGAGCCAGTGACCTGCAGGTGACCACTTAGGGCGTTTCTCACAGCATCTCTCTGTGCGACCTCCTCTCCCTCCAGGTGGCCCTCCTTGGTAGGACACAGGGCCCATTCTCCCCAGCATGGCCCACCTGGGATCTACCAGGAAACTTCATACATCCTTGGCCTAATAAACCAGGGTTGTGCAATTCCAACACAGCACCCTTTCTGGTTCTGCCATCCAAGCCATGAGTCAGCCTGGTCATACCCACCTGATTCCCCAGGGAGTTGCATCTATTCTAAAGACCAACTTGACACTCTGGCACTCGGGTGAGGTCCCCCAACTGCAGAGAAGGCATTTCAAGTTCTCCCTTAAAGGGAAGAAAGGAACGCCTCACCTGTCTTCTAAAATGGAGATGAAGACTCCCCATAGATCTCTCAAAGGAATCACAAGACTTCTCTCCAAACATCCTTTCTTCTCTCTCACCCCTTTATATATCCTTGAAGTGCCCAAGGGCTGTGAATGAGGGGGACACATTGCTTAAGCTTTTGGCTATTTGCCTTTATAGACACAACAAAAGAGGGTCTGCTGCAATTTCTAGAAGCATAACTTCTGGTGCCAGAGTGTGCTACTCTTAATAATTTATGTTTGTTAGTTTAAACCTGATTATGATTTTCAAGCCAGCACTTGAATGCGACAAATGTTGCCACAAATGCAACAAAAGATGCCCCATTTCTGGTTCTCTCAGGGTGATTTGGAGCTCTCTGATCCTGGGAGTTGTTTTCTGGCTGATCTTTGACACCGCCAAATTGGGCCAACGGCAGCTGGTGTCCTTCGGTGGGCTCATAATGTTCATTATCCTGATGTTTCTATTTTCCAAGAACCCAACCAAAGTAAGTATCAAATTGATCTTTTTTATTTTTTCCCTCTTTTTTCTCATGTGTAAATTGCTCAAATTAATGAGTGTGAGAGAATTTAACTGTTATTCAGTATTTTTCTTACCTTGCTATGATATTTTGAGTGGCTAGGGGGTCCTTCTTCCTGAACTTTCATAGAACTGTCACTTTCTCATTGTTCATTCTCAGTAACTTTCCAGTTACACTTTCAGTGACATGTTCTGTCCTGTCAAGTAAAACTTCTCCTCGTAATTTAAAACTATGGACCAAGAACAGTTTAGTGGATACCAGGGGAAAGGTGGGGTGGGGGGTGGGCACAAAGGGTGAAGTGGTGCACCTACAACATGACTGACAAACATTAATGTACAATTGAAATTTCACAAGATTGTAACCTATCAATAACTCAATAAAAAAATAATTAAAAAAAAAAAAACTTCTCCTCGTGTCGCCTCCTCTCCCCATCAAACACGCATTCAAAGAAAACTCATCCATTTTGATCCAGATTTCCCAGACCAGTAAATAATGTAATATTCTACCATGGGATTCTGCAGTTTATCAATTTTCTATTTGCAATTTTGTCTATTTTACTCCAAAAGTTTGTCCTTGAACAGTTTTGTTCACATTGAATTCCAGCTTCATCCTTGTTCTGTTAGTCAGTAACCCAACACATGGGCAAAAATTCTGAGACATCAGTTGTTCACAAATGACTCATAATGGCAAATCCTGGAAGACTTTACTGGCTGAAGGGTTCACCCCTCAAAAGAAAGCATTTGTCAGAAACCAAAGTCACCTAATGTGATCCACTTCTTTCCCCTGTGAACATCTCAGCTGTTTTCTATGCCTCCAATCCCATAGTTCTTTGCAGGCCATTCATCTCTGCACCAAAAATGAAAGCAGCTGATTGTCCATGACTCTGCTCTCCCTGGGTCTGCATTAGAGTTAGTTGGTTCCTTTTGCAGTGAAATGAGAGCCCCTCAACAGGGTGGAATTTTTTTTACTTAATTCACTTACAGTTTGTCAGATCAACAAACCTAGGACACACAGAGAAGTCATGTTCTGCCTCTCCATCTTCTAGAAGGGGAAATAATTATAGGTATTGAATATTTACAGCATGACCAGCAAGGATAGATCCTTCCTCCTTATGGCCCTGCTAAGACTACTCTTTGGGTTTGAGTTGTTTTATCATGGCATAATGGTTCCATACTCCCCTGAGACTGAAGGCGTCAAACTCAGGTTTAGAAAGAGGGAATACAACCTTGAGATTTCTGCATATGAGTTTATTAAGGGACTCTCTGCTCATGACTGCTTGGGCCTCCCAGAGAAGGTGGGTCACAGGCCACGTGTGAGAAGCTTCCAAGGAAACAGTGAGGCTCTGGGCGTTTATGTGGAGGTCAGCATTCATCCTCTAATAAGATACGTCTCTCTCCATCTTTCTGCATAGGTTCGCTGGAGGCCTGTCTTTTGGGGAATTGGGTTACAGTTTCTTCTTGGGCTCATAATACTAAGGACTGGCCCTGGACTTATGGCTTTTCAGTGGTTGGGCAAACAAGTTGAGGTAAGTTGGGTTCAAAAAGAATAGCTTACTTTTATAGTGTTTTAACATTTTAATATAATCCTCAAGATATGTCAGAAATAGATTTATTTGTCTGCATGAGTTGACTCAAATTTTAATTTCATAGCATGAGTTAGACAAATAATTTTATGTGTCAAATGTTAATCTGTCCAGTTTATTAATATTATTGTTGCCCCTCACCCGTACCATCCACTACATCTCTCCCCTCTCCTGGTTGCCCCCTTCATCCTGCCCAAGGGGTGTCACACTTCTAAGATGGTTCCACAAACAGTGAAACAGGCTCTCTTTGCATCTAGTGGTCAGCAGTGCCACCCATGTGCCATCTATTGCTTCTGGATCAAATTACCACGCCCAGCTTACTTTTCAGCACCCTAGAGTCAGATGGAATGTTAGAAATGCTGGGAAATCTGTGTGCAGTTATAGTTCAAAAATACACTTCCATGCTGCCCACTGGAGGGAGAAAAGCTGAGAAAATTAACTCTCCAAGTCTATCCAACAAGTTTGCTGGGTCCTCACCCTCTGCAGGGCCTGGTGGGTCCTGAGAACAGTAACCACCACTTCAGGGGTTATAATGGTCTCTTCTTGCCCTTTCTTTATCTCAGACCTTCTTGGAACACACTGACGCTGGTGCTTTATTTCTCTTTGGTGAGAACTACAAAGACCACTTCTTTGCATTTAAGGTAAAGCCAAACCCTTTTCTATGGAGTCACATCCTTTTCAGTAACTTCTCAGTCTTTGTAGATGTTCTGATAGAACCCAACTACCAGAAACCTGGCGTATAACTGCTGGGCAGGTCATAGGTGCACAGCACACCACTGTCCTTTCTCATGACAATTTTATCTGAAGTCAGTAGGTTATAAATGTTTACTTTGTTACTATAGCATTAAGGGAAACATCTAGAGGGGTCAGAAATATTGGAATACATTTGGAGGGCTTGTAGCGTTGTCTGAGATTCTTATGAAAAATCATACAGGGCAACAGTATCTGAGATTTCAGGGAAAAGATCATTAGGTACCTGGCCATGAACAGGCATATGACCAATAATGGCTGCTAGGTCCAGGATCAGTGACAGATCTGTGCTCAGGAAACTCTCAGTCCTAGGCCAATCAGGACAACTGGACACCCACATCAGCCTCTGTTTTTCCAGAACCATCCTCGTGCTAAACCGTTCCCATTTTCCTTCAGCACAGCCTTTGCCTATGGGAGGCCTGGGGGCTGGGCCTTCTCCCAGCCAAAGAGGGGTGTTATTTTACAGTGGCAAGGCAACCTGGCCCCATGCCCGGGCCTCTTCGCTTCCCTCCCGGGGCTCCCACAAGCCCCAGGAAGTCACTGTCCTCTGGGAAGTCCCTACAGATGCCTGTTGATGAGTCAGAAAGATGCATTTGGTTTTTTCTTCATCTTTCCTTTTTGTGGTGTATTATTGTTCCTACACTTCTAAACTGTCTTTTCACTTAGGTACTCCCAGTTTACCTCCAAATTACTCCAGTTTCAGTTAGGCCAACTGTTAGGCTGGATATTTTTTTAAACTGCTGATTTGATGCTTTGGTGCTGAGATAACTAAGCCATCTCTGAAAGGTCAAGTGTTTACAAATTGAGATGGAAATATGCTCATATCGTGATGTGAATCCAGAATTGGAAAAAATAAAGTCACAAAGAAGGCATGACTTGCTGCCCAGACTGCACCAGTGTCTCAGACCTCCCTCCCGCTCCCCCCAGGGCAGTAGCCTCCATCCTCTCTGCCAGCACAGAATCCCTGTGGGCACATCCGAGAGATGAGCCCCTTCGACTCCCTGACACTTTCAGGAAGGCTCTCCCTGCCCATTAAAGCCAAGAAAAGCACGTAAGTGCGTGAGCTCTGAATGATGGCACAGAGTGTCTTTTAACATATAATATTAATAGAGTTTCCTAAATTGGATGCTTTAAAAATCGTCCTCAGTCATTCTGAGCCTTTGGTGGCAGCTCGTCCCTGGCCATTTATCTGGGGAGCAGATGGGAAGGGGTGGGGGGGGTATGGGTGGGGAGGGACTGAGACCACAGCTCTGTGTGGTCTCTGCAGGGGAGACACGGCTCCCTGTAGACACACAGGCTGCATTGAAGGCATCCAAAGAGCATCAGGAAAATAGGATCTAGGAAAGGACAACCTTTGTGAACACAGAAGTAAGCTGGTTTCCAAAGTTTAATCTTTTGTTAGTGATCAAAAGTCTATAAGTAAAATAATTATCATTCTAAAAGCCGAAAGAGTAGATGCTTCCTCTATAGGAGGCACTATGTGTGAGGACCTACCGTGCTCTATCTGATCTGTGCAGCCACTTTGAATAAGGATCTGAGGTTGCTGGCATTTAATCTTGACCCAGGTTACTCTGCTAATAAGTTGTGAAGCTCATGGCTATTTAATATCAGAACAAGAACATCTGCTAGTGGCGTTCAGTTCAATGAGCCTAATTATTACAATTCCCCTAAATCTTTATACCTTCTCTGAGACAGTAAAGGAAGAAAAGATCATTATAGCAGAGGGGAAAAAAAATGTCAAGTTTCCTAGGAAATATACTCAAACTTATCCAAGCAAACTAGAATCAGAGACTGTAGATGGAGCAGCTGCCTGATAAAAGTGTTGTTTAGTTGAAGAGGCATTTCCAGTATTTTTATGACGTTTCAGAGGAGGAAAAGGAGGTAGAAAGAAGGAGATTGATCTGAAACCTACTAATCCTCCTGAGGCCAACGTTAGCCCATGATTGCTTCCATCTCCTCCCCCAGGTCCTGCCAATGGTGATTTTTTTTGGCGCCATCGTGTCCCTGCTCTACTATCTCAGACTGATGCAGTGGATCATTAGAAAGGTACGGGACCAGAGGGATGGGTGACAGCTGTAGAGCTGATTATTTCAGGGACAGAGTCCTATTTATTCAGAGTCTATTTATTCAGAGTTTTCCAAAGTGCTTTTCTCTTCGTACCAAGTTCTACTCCCTACCCCGAGTTACTGGATTCAAACACAAAAATCCTGCATGCGTCCCTAGAGGGAAGCTTATCTCAGGGAGTTCTGACAGGGCTTTGACTTGCAACCCACTGTTATCTTCATGAAACCTTAGCAATTACTTCTTTAGCCACAGAATTGACTCCCACAGGTCCCACACCTGCCGGGGAGAACAGCACTGTCCTCCATGTTGGCGACCACCCTGTGCCTTATGCAGAGTCACTGCTTTTCCACAGGAGGTTCTGCAGGAGGTCTCGAAGCTGCTAGGGAATCAGAGCAGGAAGGGGAAGCTACTTTTCGCTCTTCAGGGGTTTTTATAAGCACACAAATTTAAAAGAAAAAAGTCTAAAAAGTTAATCTCATTCTTGCTGGCCCAGCAACTCTCAGTCCTACCGTTACATGTTAGACCAGAAATGTGTGAAACGTGTAAGCTGGTTTGAATGCACACGATAGCGAGGCTGTGCACACAGGGTTTGGGCACAGCCCAGCCCTCCTTGGATCCCTGACAATAAATAAAATGGAGAGAGAGAGAGAAACAGAATACCAGCAGAATTCAGAATTTCAGTAAGAGCACCAAGGCCCGCGATTTTCCTATTGTCGATTAAAACATTCAGAATTACTGTGCTCATTTCTAAGGAGAAGGAATGCCACAGGAAGTCCCCATCCTGAGGTAGGCACCACAGCCTCTGTTGGAAGGGCCACTATGAAAGTGGGACCATAAACCATGCTCGACTGAATGTTAAGTAGAAAGGGCCAAATGTCAACTACACTCCACTACCTATGAGCTGGGTGGTTTTTGACAAAACAGCTAAACTGTTCTGTGCCTCAGTTTCCGCTTCTATCAAATGGGCGTAATTATAGGACCTCCCTCAAAGGGTTATTGTGAGGATTAAAGCATTACTCAGATCAAGGGCTCAAAACAGTGCCTCCGAATGCAGTAAGCCTGCCCTGACTGTCAGCAATTATTATAACTTATGACTTCTCCACCACATTTCAATACAAATTCATTCGTATGATGTTGAAAGTACGTACAATGACTCAGACTTACCCCTCCAATAGGAGGGTGTGATTGGCCTGCTCTAAGGACTAGGTAAGATGTAATCTTGTGAGCACCATTGCTGGCCTGCCCACAGTTGTTGAAGGCCTCAGCATTTTCCTCCAAAGACTTTTATCCCTACTTTGAAGTTTTGTGTGTACAAATAGCTCTTCACTGACTTTGTCCCTTGTCCCCTTTTAGATTGGATGGGTCATGCTGGTTACTGTGGGATCATCTCCTATTGAATCTGTAGTTGCTGCTGTCAATATATTCGTCGGACTTGTAAGTTGTAATATCAAAAAACAAAGGAAAACAAAGCAAAACACCTCTGAAATGCACTTCCAGAAAGTGGAATAAAAAAATATGATGGTTTTATTTCTTTTAGTGTAGAGGGAATGGTGTCAAAATAAGGACCCCTCAGGATAGACAAAGTCCATATTCCAGAGAGAGAAAAAGAGAGAGAGAGAGATCCCTTCCAAGAGTCTCAGTGCATGAATGCAGCATTGAGGTTCTGGAAATTTGATGGAGAGGACGAAAGGTTGAGGCATTTTGTCAAAGCATTGGACTTCTCATGCATAGATTCCCAACCAATCTTTTGTAAGTTTATAGAATTGTTGAGGCCTCTGGCCCACCCTTCAGAGACAAGCAGCTCATTCACTCACATGGAATTCACCGCTATCTTGAGCCTGCAAACCCATAGCAGGCAACCTCACCTGCTGTAGTGTAAGGCTGGGACGATGAAAGAGACCAGGAAAGGCTCCCACTGACGACCGTGCAGCTGTATAGATACCTGAGTTCGTTCTTAACTTGTCTCGACTGGCAAACAGTCTGTCTTTGCTGAGCCTGCAGAACAATGCTGATGAGCAAAAGCATTTTCACTCCCTGATCCATCCCATGGTTAAATGCTCTTTTGCCTGAAATCCATTTAAGCAAAGAAATATGATGCAAAAGGAGTGTCTCTCAAAACAGTGGCATTCCTAAGGGGTGGATGAGTGAGAAATAGTAACAATCATCCTCATCACTCTGCATACGTAGCTTCAGGCAAAATGGAGTCACATACCAAGGAAACCAAGTGTGAGTGCTGGCTAGCATGGCTGCCCAAGGAAGTTGGATTTGAAGCAAAAATAGTCACCCAGAAAAACACATGGCCCTGGATCCCAGGCTTATGACTGCTCCAAGCAGCTGAGCCTTCTTATCGGCCAGCCCAGCTTGCTAACCTGGAGCAGAGGCTTCGGAGCAGGGCCCATGCTTCCTTCCATAGGAGTTGAAATTATTATAATTACAATCATAAGATCCCTCTGGACTAATTAGGGCACCATTCTGAGTCAATTACTCCTACATGCAGGGTAAGAGGGCTCATGTACTGAATTTCTATTCAATCCATAAATTGATGCTCAACACATTCAGTCTCACAGAACAATTAGAAATAATAGGGTGAAATTGTAAAATTGCACACATGCTCAATTTGATACCTAATATGCTAAAAGTTCAGCTACTATTTATGAAGAGCTCGAGGCTGCAGGCCGCCTGCCCTCCTTGATGGGACTCAAGCCTTTTCAACTACACTCTACCTGATTCCTTTCCACCCAAGGGAAAGAAGGGGTCTCTGATTCTCAATTAGAAAAAGGCCTCTGGGCACCTGTCCTTGTTTGTTTTTTCTGCTTGCATCTCTATTTCCCTGCGGTTTGAGCAAAGAGGTTTAAAGTCTGTCGAGATGAAGCTGGAAGATGGGAAGTCACAGAGGCTTGGGAATCGCCCATTCTCAAGACCAGGCCACTGGGCAGAGTTGCTTGGCCAATGGTGTTCCAGCTTTAGGAAAGTGTCCCCAGCCAGCAGAGTCCAGTCCTAGGCTAAGTGGGGGCCTTGTGTGAATTGGCCTTGCAAATCCTGCAAACTTTACACATGATTCTGTCTGCACACTGACCTAGAGTTCAAATGACCCAGACAGCTAGGGTGTAGGCTTTCAAACTCCAGCATGCATCAGAACCATCTGGAAGGCTGTTAAAACAGGATTGCTGGCTCCAATGCCCAGAGTTTCTGATTCAGTAAGTCTGAGAATTTGCATTTCTACAGAGTTCCGAGGTGATGCTCATGGGGGTCTGCGATCCACTCTTAGAAATACTGCTTTAGAGGATGGAATTTTGAGTAGATTGGCATACCCCACTAAGACTCAACAGGGAACGCTTAATCTGGTCACTCACTCTCCATTTCCAGGCAGAGTCTGCACTGCTGGTCCGACCGTATTTACCACACGTCACCAAGTCTGAACTCCATGCAATCATGACCGCTGGGTTCTCTACCATTGCTGGAAATGTCTTAGGCATATACATTTCTTTTGGGGTAAGAATGTTTGGGGATCAATTTATGGAAAATGCCACCTCTTCTTTCTTTGCTATTATCATTTCTTTTTTTTCTTTACCATTGCTGCTGAATAAAGAGGCCGAAAGAGTGTCCTTTTTACTCTATGGCTGGTCACAGTTCCTTTGGCATTTGAATGGATTACCCCAAAGGAGCTTTGGGGCTCCTCTTTTATATCCCTGTCACCTAAATGTGAATCATATCCAACCATGTCAGAATACAGTCATATTATGAGGCTGCTTTGGCTGAAAATATAAATATGTAAAGAAAAAAACCTATTATACTAGTAAAGGCAATCTAAACCAGAGGTCAGCAAAGAATGACCCATGGGCCAATTCTAGATCATGCCTCTTCTCTTGTAATTGAAGTTATAACTGGAAACTAGCTACTCCTATTTGTTTCTCTACGGCAGGTTTCATGCTACAGAGTTAAGTAGTTGTTGCCCAAAAAGCCAAAAATATTTACTCTCTGGCCCTTTACAGAAAAATTTTTCTGACCCTGACCTAGAGCAGTGGTTCTCAAACCTTACTGCACATTAGAATCACCTGGGATCCTTTAAAAGCCCAAATACCCAGGCCCATCCCCCAGAGTAGTTAAACCAGAATCTCTTGATATGAGACCCAGGCATCAGTATTTTGTTAAAGCTCCTCAGATTCCAATGTACAGCCCGTTAAGAGCTGGTGGTCAATAGCATAGGGATGGAGAGCCTTATGATAACTGGGGCGTGTGCCCCAAGCACAGAGCCGACAAACCACATACATATGCAACCCCCATGGGAGAAATGAGACCAATAGCAGCCGTGTGACCCAGGCAACTGGGTGTTCTTACAGGATAGGTGAGTTTCACTCCAGGACTTCATCTGGGCTTTGGAAGCTGACCAGCAGGAAGAGGGAAGAGGAAAAGGGTAAAGGAGACCTCAGGAATAGCACTGTGACTGGATGCCCAGATGATCCACTCTTCCACCACTGTGGGAACACCGCCTGCAGAAATGTGCTGGGTGGAATGGGCGTGGGGAGGGGGTGCTGATTCTGGAATTCTGAAAAGATAGGGAAGAGAATCCAGGAACAACAAGGGTGTGGGGAGGGGAGGGGAAAGACTTTAAGTAGACCTGCAGTGAGGAGAGCAGAGATGCTTGCAGATCACAGGGACTCTGCGTAAAGGAGTATTACATAAAGGCACAAACTTTCGGAAGAGCACAAGGAAGACAGAGAGTGTTGTATCCATGCCTGCAGCCCCAGACATCCCCATCTAAATCGATGATGTAATGAAATATGGGCTCTAGGGACTGTTTGAACATTTAAAAGGACCACAGAGAGGTGGAGGGATCTGTGAAAGCTCCTACAGCACAGGATTAATTCTCTTCTGAAATGATCAGACTTTGGTTTTGTGCCTCTCTCTCCAGGGATGTGGTCAATTCACACAAATTACTCCCTCTGAGTCTCATGGTGATGCCAGCTTGGCTCGCTGAGCTCCTCCAAACCTCCAAAGAAACATTGTTTTCTGGCATAAACGCAATTCCTGCCCTCTTCCCTTGTGAGGCTTTCGGGCCATTCTTTCTGAACACAACGGAAAAGCTAAACCTAAGTTGGCCTTCTTTCTCCTAAAATCACAGATTTCACCTGCCCACTTATTAACTGCCTCAGTTATGTCAGCTCCCGCTTCATTGGCTGTGGCTAAACTCTTTTGGCCTGAGACAGAAACACCTAAAATAACCCTCAAAAATGCCATGAAAATGGGAATGAGGTAAGTGAGATTCGTTCGCCTCATTAATGACTATACAAGCTGGGGTGTCAGGGAGTTCCACATTCAAAGTACAGCAAAAAATTGACAAAGGGAGCATGGTGAATTATAGTATTAAAGTGAATTTAATTTCCCAGTGACTATTAGACTTCAACCCCAAAAATCCTGTTTCAGCACTTGAAAACATTTTTTTTTCATTGAACTATAGTTGACATACAATATTAGTTTTGGGTGTACAACATAGTGATTCAACACTTATATACATTATGAATTGATGACCACAGCAAGTCTAGTAACCATCTGTCAGCAGACAAAGTTATTACCATATTATTGACTGTATACCCTATGCTGTACATTACATCCCCAAGACTTCTTTATTTTATAACTGGAAGTTTGTACCTCTGTATCTGTGAGTTTGTTTCTGTTTTGTTATGTTTATCCATTTGTTTTTTAGATTCCACATATAAGTGAAATCATAGAGTATTTGTCTTTCTCTGTCTGACTTATATCACTTAGCATAATACCCTCTAGGTTCATCCATGTTGTCGCAAATGGCACGATTTCATTCCTTTTTACAGCTGAGTAATATTCCATCGTATGTATATACCATGTCTTCTTTATCCATCCATCTATCAATGAACATTTAGGTTGTTTCCATATCTTGTCTATTGTAACTAATGCTGTAATGAAAACAGGGGTGCACATATCTTTTTGAATTAGTGTTTTCATTTTCTTTGAATAAATGCCCAGAAGTAGAATTGCTGATTGTATGGTAGTTTTATTTTTAATTTTTTGAGGAATCTGCATACTGTTTTCCATAGTGGCTGCACCAATTTACATTCCCTCCCACAGTGTATGAGTTCTCTTTTCTTCGCATCCTCACCAACATTTATTTCTTATCTTTTTGGTAATAGCCATTCTGACAGGTGTGAAGTGATAATTTATTGTAGTCCTGATTTGCATTTCCCTGATGATTAGTGATGCTGAGCATATTTTCATGTTTCTGTTGACCATATGTATATCTTCTTTGGAAAAATGTCTATTTAGGTCCTCTGCTTATGTTTTAATTGAAGTTTTTGTTTGTATCCTATTGAGTTGTATGAGTTCTTTATGTATTTTGGCTATCACCCCCTTATCGGATACATCATTTGTGAATATCTTCTCCCATTCAATAGGCTGCCTTTTGGTTTTGTTGATGGCTTCCTTTGCTGTGCAAAAACTGTTTAGTTTGATGTAATTCTATTTATTAATTTTTGCTTTTGCTGCCTTTGCCTGAGGAGACAGATCCATAAAAATATTGCTAAGACCAATGTCCAAAAGCTGACTGCCTACATTTTCTTCTAGGAGTTTTATGGTTTCATGTGTTACATTTAAGTCTTTAATCCATTTTGAATTTATTTTTGTGTATAGTATAAGAAAGTGGCCTTGTTCCATTCTTTTGCATGTGGCTGTCAAGTTTTTCCAACACCACTTATTGAACAGATTATCATTTCCTTGTTGTATATGCTTGCCTCTTTTGCCATAGATTAATTGACCATATAAGCAGGGGTTTATTTCTTGGCTCTTATTCTGTTCCATTGATCTCTGTGTCTGTTTTTGTGCCAGTGCCATACTGTTGCGATTACTATAGATTTGTAGTATTGTTTGAAATCAGAGAGTGTGATGCCTCCAGCTTTGTTCTTCTTTCTCAAGATTGCTTTGGCTGAAAACCTTTCAAACGCCTAAAAGTCATTATATTTACTTGACTTCAATGTAGATATTTTATTTTAAATATAGTGTAGTGTTCACTGAACTTTGATTTAAAACTGTTGCAAAACCATAGAATGACCATTTCTGGAAGTGTCTCATATGATAGGGAAAGAAAGTGTGATATAGGTATCCTTAACCCCTCTTCAGTTCATTTTCTTTTGCCCTGGGCAAAACAAATAAAAAAGGGTGGAAAAGACTAAGGGATTTAGAATGTTCAAAAGTATTTCATTAAAGAACAGAATACGTCAACAAACATGTTTCTGAGATTTGCCCCTTGTTTGTATGTGGGTAAAGTCATAACCATGAATGAAAAAGCAAGCTGTCAAAGAATATATGTATATGGAATATGTGTGATTCCACTTATAAAGTTAGCAAATGTGTGAACCTACACAATATATTACTTAGGGATGCAGACATATAGGGAAATTGAAAAGAAAGGGAATGATAAGCAACTTCTAGGGAGCCAGGTACCTATGAGATTGAAGAGGATGAGATTAAGGAAGGGCACGGTGGGGGGAGGGGGACTCAAAGGTGAGGATGACCTTCCATTTCTTAGGTGATGGGTATTCAGGCCTTCCTTGAATTATTAGTTCTTATACCATGGATATTTTATAAATAGGTTCTCTAGTAGCTACTTTTAATTAAATATAATTTTTAAAACCTATAATATTATCTTTTCTCAACTTTTTAATTATAAATGCCCCCAACTAAAAGAGTAGTATAACAGTTAGATACCCATAAGCCCATCACCTGCACTCAGTAATTATAAATCCCATCATGATTTCATGGAACCCAGGTGAGGATTTTGACCAAGGTATGGGCCTGAGAATTTGTCTCTCCATCCGAATGAGCTCTGATTTCCCCATATCTACATCTGTGATGTCCATCTGCTGACAACTCCTTGGTAATTCTGCCATTGCTATTTTTTGATAAAGTGATTCGAGGAATCTCCTAGACGCAGCATCACATGGAGCATCCTCATCCATCTCTGTGGTAGCACACATCGCTGTGAATATGATTGCCTTCGTGGCGCTGCTGTCTTTTGTGAACTCAGCCCTGTCCTGGTTTGGAAACATGTTTGACTACCCACAGCTGAGTTTTGAGGTATATTCTATCATGTTTCTCCTCCACTTTGTTTCTGCCCGTCTTTGTTCAAAAATGAAATAGGTTTGTGAATCGCCTTCCCTTACTGCCTCCAGTGCACTTGTACACAAGCACCAACCTCTCATGTATCCTCTATCTTCCCACAGCTCTTTCTCTGTCTCCTGTCACACTCCTTCCCCCAACATACAGTCATTCTCTCCATCCGAAGGATCCAGGTCACTTCATATGACTAATTCCAACCTTGACTCCTAATGGATAAATATGGACAAGGGCATGTGAAGGGATTTCTGTGCCCACAGGTGACACAGAGGGGGTGGGAACAATCTCTTCGTGAGAATGAGGCAGAAGAACAGGAGCAAATCACGTCTAATAAAGTATCTACTTTTTATTTTGTAGATAATATGCTCCTACATCTTCATGCCCTTTTCCTTGATGATGGGAGTGAACTGGCAAGACAGCTTTATGGTTGCCAAACTCATAGGTTATAAGACCTTCTTCAGTGAATTTGTGGCCTATGAGTACCTCTCAAAATTGGTGGATTTAAGGAAACGATCTGGACCCAAATTTGTGGATGGTGTCCAGCAATATATGTCAGTGAGTAAACATTTTGGTTTTTCAGTGCACTTCTTTATCATATATATCATATATATATATATGTTTCATCAAATCGTTACTGGTGCCTCTTTATGTTAGGTCAGGCACTTAGAAGATGACAAAACAGACCCCAAATCGAGAGCTCATAATGAACACAGCACCTCATAATTTTCAGTTACATTGAATTAATCAATGTGTGTGTTTGTGTGTGTAGAAGCACAACTAATCTTTACTACTGTGATCATTTACTGTTGAGCTCTGTGTGTCCAAACCCAGAGTGATAAGAGCTGGGACTAGAATCAATCCATCAACAAGCATTTATCGAATGCCTTCTGTGTGCAATGCACCTAGGAACTGAGGCCACAGCGTTGAACAAGTGATGAGGCCTCTGCCCTCATTGAGCTCAGAGTCTAATGATCAGGAAGCTCTCTTCCTTTCAGCTTAAGGAATTCTATGGACTCTGAGAAACTGCCTAAATGCAGCCTAGAGCCTGGACATCCTAACGAAGTATTGAGACACAATCTCTGCTCTCCACATAGATGAGGGAAGAGAAGAAGCTCAGGGTCTGTGATCTGAACCTTTGAGACAAGCACTCTAGAACTATGTCAGGACTTCAGGTCAATAGGCTGCAAGGAGATGCCCATGTCCCCTTAGCCTTGGATGGGATAAGGGAGCTCAGGTGAGGCTCTTCCTTGGGCCATGTTTGCAGCTGAGCCTCCAACTTTTATTTTCCTAAAGAACAGAATTGGCACACACGGAAACTCTCAGGGAAACAGTGAGTATTTCTGGCCACCACTATGACTCATGGAAACAATCCATTTGGAATTAATGTCCTAGGCGCATATTGGGCTTTAAAAGGAAAGGGGAGGGAAAGCATGCTGCCCAAGCTTCTAACTGAGATGGCCCACCTCTGAACAGCCCCCACTCTCCAGCCTCCCAGAGACCAAACAAGCACATTCACTTCCACGTGTTACACAAAATAACAGCACACCCCAGGAGAGTGTTGATTTGTGTGTTCTAATCAGGGCATTTGACCCACGTATCTGATGTGAATAGTGACTGCATAGGACTCCTGTTTCTCAAATGCTCATTCTTCAGCTGACCACGCAGTGGGGCTTGGCCGAATGTCCTCATTGTCTGGATGCCACCACAAAGCAGCTTGCTTCCCTGCGAAAAGTAAACTGTAGGCTCAATTAAGTGAAATGTTTTTCATCCCCAACTGCCAGTTGCTGACAGAAAGTTTTGTTAATGAGCAAAGCAAGCTCACAGGTCTGGCAGTGCTGAGCAGGTTTGTGAGCAGGTTAGTAAGAGGATAGAGACAGGCCAGTAGAGCTGATTCAGGTTGGGGGTGAGCCCCAACAGGGGCAAGATAAACAAAATGGGAATGAGTCCTGAAATTTCTGCATACCAACCAAGAAGAGGTGGGGGTATCGCCGTAGTCTCCTGGAAAACATACCACGTGACTGAAGTGTAAGATCTGGGTCCATAGGCAAAAATCCCATGGTACCCATCAAATTGTGCCCAGTTCTGACCTCCATCTGAGGTAAGAGGTCAGAATGTGTATGTCACACTTTATTACTCCATTTTCTCTTTGTTAAAGATAATACTTTGCATGTTTGCTTGTTTGTTTATACATAATATATTTCATGGCACAGAAGTCAAAAGGTACAAAAAGGTGTAGAGGAAAAAGTGAGTCATCCTCCCTCTTTCTCTGACACTAGCTCCTCTCCCTGTGTCATATTATGCTCACTGTCCTTAGCCTTTCTCTTTGTACTTAATAACATATCTCAAATGCCTTTCCATACCAGTGCATGTGACACAATATTCTACTGTACGAGCACACCATAATTTATTTTAGCCAGTCCCTTGTTGAAAAACACTCTTATCGATTTTTTCTATTGGTACCACAGTGTACTGTCCCTGTACATATGGCATCTTTGCTCTTGTGCTAGGAGAGCTGTAGGATATACTATTAATCTCCTAGTGCAGTTCTTTCCATCACATAGTCTTGCACATTTATGGGCAAAGACAGAGCAGAATCACCCCAGCTTCCTTTTCCTCTTCTTATAAAACCCTACGTGGCCCCATCTGTGTGCCCCCCTCCACAGGTCCCCAGGAAGGAGAAAGAGGACTCTCGAGCACTTCATGCCCTCCCTCCTGCCATGGTCTCTTAATAAGTTGCCTCTTTTTCAAGCCAATTGAACTAAATGAAAAGCACTAGACAGAGCAGGGGACGAGGATGAGCTTTTCCAGAAACAGTGGACTGCTCAAATACTTGATATATTTTATTTTCCTGCCTGCTATATGCACGCTGAATGAAAATATCAACAAAGGAGTTCTCAGAAACCATGAAAAGAAGAAGGGCTTTCTCAGCAAAAACTTACCATGACCACTTGAGTCTTGAATGTGGGCTTTAAAAAATCCAGTTGGTGAAAGAAAAGAAAGGCACTACAAGTTTTGAATGTAGCATTGACCTGGTTTGTTCTTTGAACCAAATCATAGATTTTCAGGATTTGGGGGGAAAAAATTATTGCCTCAATTGTGTGGGTGCCTTTGCCAGATTGGGTGTATCTCCGGTGAACAGTGAAGTGCCCTGGCTCTTCCAAGCCTCTGCAGTCAGTCCCTCACCCTGAGAAAGAACCATCTGGCCTGAGCAACTCCTCTTGACCTTAGAATAGAGACGGAGGGCCGTACTCACACTTGGACGAATTCACCTTCCATCCTCTCACGGCCCTGTGAGAGGACAGTCCATTCTTCCACCTCCAAGGGGCACCTAATGTTCTTATGGGCTGGTCAGAGCTGAGGTGCAAAGACAGGCAAGCACACCCCATGGTCAGATGGAAAGGACTCCTGTGATAGCTGTGAGCTGCCTTTTTACTGATATGATTCCTTTCAAATTATATTCTTTTTACTGAAGTACAATTTACATACAAAAAAGCTCATTTTTGGTGTACATGTGAGTTTTGACATATGTATCACCTGTGTCACCACGACCACAATCAGATATAGAACATTTACATCTCACCTAGAAAATCATCCTCATGGCCAGTTGTAGTCAACAGCCCCCTACTCCCACCCCAACTCAGTCTCAGCAGCCACTGATCTTTCTTTCACCATAGATTACTTTTGCTTCTTCTACAATTTCATATGAGTGGACTCACTTAGCATTCATGTTGTTGCCTATATTAGTTATTTTCCTTTTTATTGCAAAGCAGCTTCCTATTTTATGGAAATCCACAATTTGTGTATCCATTTGCCTGTTGAAAGATGTTTGAGTTGTTTCCAACTTTGGACTACTAGGAATAAAGCTGCTGTAAATATTCATGTACAGCCTTTGTGGGCATATGTTTTTATTTCTCCTGGGAAAACTCCTAGGAGTGGACTGCTGGGTCATGCAGGCAGTGGATGTTAACTTGATAAGAAACTGTCAAGTATGTTTGTATTTTACAAACAGGCTGTGTCAGTTTACATTCTCACCAACAATGTACAAGAGTTCCAGTTGTTCCAAATCCTCGCTAACCCTTAGTATTGTCCACATTTTTAGCCATTTTAGTGGGATCTCTTTGTTTTAATCTGCATTTCCCTGGTGACAAACACTGTTGCACATTTTCTCACATGCTTATTGGCCATTTGCTTGTCCTTTGTGAAATCTCTTTATTCATTTATTAGGCACTTGTCTTCTTATTATTGCGTTACAACAGTTCTTTATAATTCTGAATAAGTCTTTTATCAAATAAATGTAATGTGAATATTTTATGGGACCAATTTTGTGTCTTCCGGAGCTGGTCCTGTGCCTGGCACATTGTAGCAGGTGGCCAGGACACACTGAATATTAAAAGTTGTCATTGAGCAGAAAGTAGCATTTGTAGAGGCCAAGATTACCAATTCCAAGCCCTTTGTAGAGAGTCTCTGAATCCACACAGCCCCTTTCTCTCCATCGAAATTGAAGGGGAAATGGAAAAAAGAGTCTAGGAAGCAACAGGTGTTTGACACCGTGCACTGTGCACTTATTTGTCAGTATCAATTCTGTCGTCAGAATAGGAAGCCCAGTTAGGATGTCAGATTTACTAAGCTGGTCACACCATGTATGCATCTGTGTGTTTATGCTTATTTTACAGATTCATTCTGAGACAATTGCCACTTACGCTCTCTGTGGCTTTTCCAATATCTGTTCCCTAGGAATGGTGATCGGCGCATTCAGTAAGTGAAAAGAATATTTTTCAACAACAGATGTCATGTGAGCATGCTTCAGGTCTCCATGTTCCTCTGTAACATTATTCATGTCAGGAAAAGAAGGCCCTGCAAGAGCAGTAAATCCTTTGGGGTCTATTTGTTATCCCTGCTCTGCAATGTAGTTTCCCTGTGTAGACCCAAGCTAACATGGGGAAGAATTTGCCCAAATGCTCAGGTGCCTCTCCAGCCAGGGATGACACATGGCTTTCACTTCATGTGCCAATTCCAGTAGACTTATAACAGCCACGTGGAGAAGGATTCTGAGGTCCAATGGAAGGTAAGTGGGAAAAAGCTGTGATTCATGAGTGATGTCTGCCATGGGCACAGACATGGATGGTGACAGATGAGTTGCAGATGTTTGGGATCCTCCCTTGCAATGCGCTTGCCTTGCTGTGCCCTCAACATGCTGTGTGCGCCCTTTGGATGAAACTTAGGATTTGTCTCTTCTGTAGAGAATGGAATCCTCTGGGCCTTTCAGTGTGGACAGACTTCTTTTCCTCACACACCAGAGGACTTCTCTGGATATAGAACTTATCACTAAGCTCTTGAATCTTGAATTTCTGAGCTAAGTTTAAAAAAAGAAAAGAAAAGTCAGCTGATCTGAGACTCCAGCCCCAGAACAATTCTCAGAGAATGAGATTTGGAATTCTAATCAATAAGCCTCAAGATTAACCTCATATCTGCTTCCATGTTTCCAGCATCCATAGCTCCTACCAGAAAGCGTGACATCGCCTCAGAAGCAGTGAGAGCTCTGATCGCAGGGAACACTGCCTGCTTCATAACTGCCTGTATCGCAGGTACTGCTTCCATTCTTTGTGTCCTGTGTCCCTGTGCCCACAGCTCTCAGGGGGGCGGTGCCTCCAACCTTATATGCAGCGTATGCTGTGCAGAGAGCTGAGAGGCAGAGCCATGTTAAGCATGTTGTGACTTGAAATGTGTGCAGTGTGATGGAGAAGCTAAGAACAGAAGGAGACTTCAGTGACCTCGTTCATTAATAAAATCAGTGGTGCTCTGTTCCACTTCCAGGCATCCTCTCCAGCACTCCTGTAGACATCAACTGCCAACACATTTTAGAGAACACCTTTGCCTCTGGCTTACCTCAAAACACAACCGATGTGGTGTCGTGTTGCCAGAGCTTATTGAGCAGGTATTGTATTCTTGATCATAACTTCTTTATATCCATTATTAATTTAAAAATTAGACCTAAAGACCCCTTCCACTTATTTTTAAACTTAATAACTCTTACTTTATTTACATATGGGAAGCTGTGTGGCAATTCCAACCGCCTTTCATTTTGAGGTTTCTCGGCTAAGACTAGGACCCATAGCCATCTAGTGTCGCTCAAGCGTTTCACACGCTCCTGCTGTGTTGGGCACTTGGTGTGAATTACCTCACTCACACCTTGCAGACACTGTGTAAGTTAGGCACTGTTGCTTTTTTAAGCGTTATATAAAATCAGGGCTTGGGGAGGCTATGTCACTGACCCAAGAAGAACGAGTACAAGCAAAGTCACGATAGAAAGACCCCAGAAAATCTGGGTCTTTCTGCTCACAGAGCCCAGGCCCTTAACTAGGACTGTAGTACTCTAGTACTAGTTATGAGGTGCTGCCTCCCTTTCAAAGGGATCAGGCAATGCAGGCTGTCCTGACAACACGGTGGTGGTGATGGTCCATGGTGGATGAGGGGCTGCCAGTGCCGCATGCCGGCCACCCCCTCCCTGTACAGTTTCTATTTGCAAAATCAATATCCCCACCCCATGTGCTCTTCTTAATGTGCAGGTGTTTTATAAGGATTAGTTCTATCCTTTCTTTGTTTATTCTGGAGAAAATAGGTGGAGTCCTTGAAGCCAAACAGGATTTGAGAGTCAAAATTAATTCTTTGGTGCCTCTGTCCTTAACCCACCCTAAACTGTATGTGAGGGCAGAAGTCAGCTCCCTGTCCTATGCTATTTTTAATGTGTCATCTTCTGCTCAATTACTGTTTCCATCTTCTAAGTCTCAGCTAACTGTTTCATTCTACTTTCTACCAGCACTGTTGCCAAGGGTCCCAGGGAGGTCATCCCAGGAGGAAACCACAGCCTGTATTTTTTGAAGAGCTGTTGCAAATTGTTGAAGCCATCAACACTGAACTGCAGTTGGATTCCTAATACATTTTGAGTTCAGCCACTTCTCCAACAGAACTGTAAGTGCAGATGCTGAACTTTCCGCATGGGGGAGAAAAAAAAGTTATTCTCCACAGATTGATACTTCCATCGTGGAGTCAGCTTTACCTGGAAAGAAGAAACACAGGAGTGCACCCTTCAGATCTAGAGCATCTCCCTCCCCTCCTCAGCCCCTTCCCCGCTGAGAACTACTATAGTGTCCCCAAGTGAGGTGTTGTCTCCAGTACCCCAAATGTCTTCTGACCTTGGAATTTCAGGACATTTGACCAGAATGCAGGTATAAATGATGGCTCACAACAACTGGGCTATACTCAGTATAACTAAGCCATACTCAGTGTGAGTCTCTGAGTAGTCCAGAGTGACCCACTTTAAAAACATCTCAGGTGATGTCTCTGCTTTCACCCTGGCTGAGCTGAAACAGCCTAAATGTGAATCTCAGGTGGAGGAGGACCAGTCACATATCACCCACTCATTACCTGCCCTGGAAAAAGTCCTGCAGAAATCAGGAGTCCTTCAGGAGAGCACCTAGAACATTCCAAAGCTAGGTTTTAAATGCCGTGTGCTTCAAGTCAGCTTAAGCTGAAATATGCTGCAGTAACAAATAATTCAAAGACCTTGATGGCTTACAAGTTTATTTTCACTTATATTATGTGTTTATTGAGGGCAAATTTTGGCCATACTCCATGTTGTCGTCATTTCCAGGACCCAGGCTAAAAGAGCAACCCCTATGTGGGGCATGTTGGTCTTATGGGAGAGGGAAAAGAAAGATGAGGACCACATTATGGTTCTTAAAACTTCTGCTAGGAAGTGACACCCTTCACTTCCACTACCTCCCATTATCAAAAGCTAGTCATGTGAAAAGCATGAGACAATAGCCATAGATGAATTATCCTGTCATAGGGAGGGATAGAGAATATTTGGAAGAAATAATATGATATACCACCTGGGTACATAATATCTGTGTCTGCCTTCGAGGAGTCAACATGTTATAGGGCATAACAGTAAGCCTATTCGTGTGCGAATTTGGTTATGTTCCTGGTGACAAGACTGGAAATGGTGCTACTCTTTATTCAAAAAAGCCACGTAAGCACCATTTGAAGAACAAAAATAAGTCCTGATTGAGATCTGAAAGCCTTCCATTGATACTTCCATTGACCAGGAGAGCATCAGCATCAAACTTGCTTAATGAGTATCAAACAAGAACCTTCCACAAACAATGGTGGGGTGCTCTTTAATGAAATGCTCATCATCATTGCCATTAACAGCATAAAGACCACATTACTGAGAAAACACAAAGACTAATGACTGGATTAAAGGGTGATGCACACAAAAGAAAGAATGTGAAAAAGGTTTCAGAATATCTGAAGTAATTTATATGTTTTCCTTTTTGTTCATGCACAAGAGTAATTTTTTTAATCCAGTGTAAACAGTTAGGTTGTTTTTATGATCGTGGTGGTGGTGGTGTAGGAGGGAGTTAAGTGCCCAAAAGACTCTTAATCTCTGAAGTACAATATACTAGGATATTTCTACTTAAACTGATCATTTGTATCAAATTTTTCTTGGAACTCAATGTGTCCTTTCAGTATTTAGACTTTGTTTTAGGAAAATATGTTTACCTTTCTTTCCCTCTGTTCTCAGTGTTCTGGTGTCAGCTTCATAAACGCCTGTGGCAGAGTGTGTCATGGATGCCAGTTATTCATATGTTAGTTCTCCTTTGTCTGTTATCACTATTATTTTTCGAACTTTTCTTTTCTCCTTTTAAATCTTTGCATTTTGCTATTCTGTTTTATTCCCAAGAATCTCTTTCTAGGAGAATCTCTGTGCTGTTTCTAGTGTCCCTCTCTGGCCAAGTAATTTTTAAATTCTCTCTGTTGCCGTTACTATTCCTTAGATGTTTGTAGCTCTTCTTTGAGCTTTTTTTTTTTTATTTTAAGGAAAACTTAATTACTGCCCTGTTTTCTTCTTTTTCAAATTCAAAAAGTAATATCTATTTGTAATAAAAAATGATATTATATACACACACATGTCTTTCTCCCCACTCTGTTCACCTCAGCTCTCTTTCCAGTACCACACACCTGAAATTATTACTAATAACCAGCATATGCACCTTTCTCCAAACATATATAAGAATATGGGGAATTTGGTGTTTCTACACATAGTGAGCCTTTTTACATATCATCCTCAACTTCTTTTCACTTGGCAATGCACTTTGGAAATTCCTACAAGTCATTATATATGGTTCTGGCTGTATCCTTCTCTTCCTCCTAGTGTGTGTGTGTGTGTGTGTGTGTGCACAATTCTACATAAATGAGACAATATATATGCTGGGGATGGGAGGGAGTTAGACATTTTATTGTCTTTCTACTTGCTTTCCTCTTCCTTTCTCCTGCCCTGGCCCACCACACACAGGTAACCCAGGTGCAATAACTTGATGTATAGCTTTCTGTACTTTTTTCATGTTTAGGTCATATTTTACAAACATATCAATCTATTGAGGATTGGGATGGTACTTTTACAATACAAATCTTCCTTGACTTACAATGGGGTTACATCCCAATAAACCCATCAAAAGTTGAAAACATCTTAAGTCAAAATTGCATTTAATACACCTAACCTACTGAACATTATAAGAGCCCAGCCTACCTTAAATATGCTTAGAACACTTACATTAGCCTACATTTGGGAAAAATCACCTAACACAAAGCCTGTTTTATAATAGAGCACTGAATATCTCATGTAATTTGTTGAATACTGTACTGAAAGTGAGAAACAGAGTGGTTTATGGGTACAGAATGTGTATCGGTGGTTTACCCTTGTGATGGCAGGGCTGACTGTGAGCTGCGGCTGCTCAGTGTCATGAGAGAGTATTGTACCACATAGAGTATCGATAGCCCAGGAAAAGATTAAAATTCAAAGTACTGTTTCTACTGAATGCATATCGCTTCCACACCATCGTAAAGTCAAAAAATCCTAAGTCAAGCCGTCATTAAGTTGGGGACCATCTGTACTGGGATTGCTCACATTTCTATGCAGTTTACTTTTCTTCTATAACAACACTTGGTGGATAGTCAAGTCCACTGGTATAACTTTTCTTTGCAAATTCTTCATAATAGCCCATGATGTGTACATATATGTATGAGCCATTCCTCTATGAACAAGGATCCACTTTCTTTCCAGTTTGCTTTTTGTTTTGCTTTTGGGCTACTTTGAACAGTTTTTGTCCATTTACTGTACATACTGCTGCTTTTATTTTCTTTAGCAGTGCTGTCTGATGGAAATATAATGCAAGTCACATGTAATTTAAAATTCTCTAGTAGCCATGTTAAAAAAGTAAAAAGAAACTGGTAAAATTAATTTTAACAATATATTTAACCCAATATATCCAAGATATTATCTCAATGAGATATTTTACATTCTGTTTATTGAATGAGTCTTTAAAATTGAATGTATATTTTATGCTTAGAGCATATCTTGAGACACTAAATTTTTATTGGGAATACTTGATCTGTATTTAGATTCCATAGAATTTACAGTTAAAAAGTAAATTTACATACCTAAGCTGCTGCAAATACACTTAAAAGTTTTCCAATGGAAACTTCCATTTCCAAATGAAATGAGTATCATTTAGAAATTAAAATTTTAGGTCCTCTGTTCCACATATGAAAGAGTTTCATATTTCAAGTATTGGCTACCCTACTGGATAGTGAAATCCTATGACATGATTTCCTAGGTGAATTGAAGTGTGTGTGTATATTTGATATTAATATAGGTTGCCAGATTTCTTCCTAGAAAAATAGATTATCTTAATTTTCATCTGCTTCATGGTATAATCTTTCTGATGTGTTTTATTCATCTACCTCTGTGTGTATGTGTGATATTTTTAATGCAACATGTTCACATAAGTCTCATGCTGATTTCTTTTTTTAATATTGTCCATCCTTGAGCCGAGGATGGGGTTACGATTCCTGAGCCATATGAGAAAAGAGAGTAAGGGTAAGGACCAGGTGGGTGAGCTGGTGAGTGCTTTAGGCTTGTTGCCTCCAGAACCTTCTCAATCTCCTGTGAATGTTGCGAGTGGTTCTGGGCTGATGGAGGTTTTGGGTGATGTCCTCGCTCTTCTCTAGCAGACACAGAAGGTGGAGGGCTGTTTGCTCCCCCAAATTCATCCTCCACCCACCCACCCATAGTCTCCTAGGATGGCAAAGATGGAGTGTGCATGTGTTTCCTGTGTGTTTGCTCAGTTGTTGTCTGAGGTCACTCACAGCTGACAGCAGGTTACTGTCCGTCTATGCACCCCGACCGTGTTTCAAGCCAAGGCTGTGACATTCATTTTGAAGAGTTCTGTACTTTGTCTACTCTGCCCTTGGCATCTGAAGCCCCAGCCTTCTCTCTGTGTCTGTCTTCACACTGGTACAGTTTTCACTAATCTGAAAACCCTTTTTCAAACACAGCATTATGGGTCCAGATATGAATTTTTCCAAATTTCAATGAAGAAATAAGTTTACTTTACCGCTTCTGTTCTCCTTGTTGTTCTCCATTGGTTTGCAAAAGGAGAGGGAGGCGGAAATGGCATTTCTCTCCCCAATCCAGAAACCATGATTATAAACAAATCCTCTGACCCTGGAGAGGCCTTAGGGTCTCAGCCAAGAATAGACTGGAGTCATGGGATATGGAGAATTTTCTTTGACTTTTTTTCCATTGGTCAAATCAGCACATCCGCACAGTTAGATCTGAGTGAGAAGGTGTCCGTAACTACAGATCATTAACTACATTCATTTTGCAAATGCCTCCAACTAATGACTTCTATATTTCTGTGGTCTAACTAGGCTGGTAGGCCACTGTGAAGAGCTGAAGATGGGCACTTGCCCAGTGAGGCTGACTTCCAATCACAGAGCAATTCCGAATCAGGCATGCTCATGAGGAAGGTGCTGCAGGACAGTGTGCTGGGAAGGGCTAAACTACCCGCGTGCACTGGAGCAGGGGAAGGGAGGCAACCAAGTACCTTTGAACAGGCAGGAGCCCAGGACTTAAGGAAGGAACGCCTGGTACGGGGGCACCACGGGGAACTAATGAGCCATGTGGTCCTGAGAAAAGCTACTTTTTACAGCTTGTTACTTTAAAAATCAAAGCAAAACTTTGTTTGATGCTAAAGCAAAAAGAATAAATTTACCCATTCTTTTTCTGTCACTAAAGACAGCACAAGCTTATGATAATAGTTTCCTTTACATTACTTTCCTTTACATTACGAAGGCAGTGTTACTGGATGTAGGGGGACTGCTTTCAACCCTGGTCATTAGTGGGCTACTTGGCAATTTCATTTCAAGAGACTCTAGAAAGTAAACACAGTCTGCACCAAGCCAGCACTCTTACCCAGTATGCCTTTTTCAAGCAGAGACAGTGACTGATTTTAGAGATCAGCCTTTAGCCATGGAACAGAGAAAAACTCTCAGATGACGACCTTGAAATGTGGTCCTCTGGCAACTGACAACCAACTGCTTTACAATGAGAAACTAGGATTAGGAAAAAACTGATGCCTTACAAGCCACGTTAACACGTAGAATCAGCCCTACATCTTCTATGCTCTGGGCATGCTTCTGGAATATTCATGAAATAAGAGGATGGTAGAACCCTAGGTCATTCAGAAATGCTTCAGCCACTCTCACCCCTGAGTCATCTAGAGCTGCGAAACCCATGGGTAAAAGCAGAGCTGGGGCAGAATCCCTTGGTCTAATCTGAATCCCTTCAACTATAGAGCACCTGCCTCCTTCCGTAATTGTCCATACGTCTGTCTCATCACTAGACTACTAATTCCTGTGTGTCTCCAGTACCTAGGATCTGGCATCTAGTAGACATTCAGTAATGGTTTATTCAATGAATGAATGAGTGAATATTGCAAAATGGCCAACCTTCACACAAGCAGGAACTGTTAATTGGTTCACCACTAAAAAACTTTTTAAAAATCTCATCTAAGTGCATACTTGTAATAAAAGTTGCAAATGGTATGCAAGTGTATAGTTGAGAAATTGGAAATTTCTACCTACTTCACTCTCATTCCCCATATTTGGCCACTGTTAACACTTTGGTGCCACTATTAATTTTCTCTCCATCTTATAAACAATACAGTAAGCTACAGCTATCAAGCTGGAGTGGATGAGTCTTCTTTCCAGCCCAATGCCTCAATCACTGCCACCTTCCATTTCTTGGCAACTTCAGGCACGTGATTTTTCTTGTCTACAACATTAGCTGTGTTACACAGTAATCAGCAAACACAGTTCAGGAGACTGGCCTTCCTGATAATCTGCAAAGCCAGCCTGCAGTTTAGTAGTATTGTCTACACTGAAGCTAAATGGAATCATTAAATGCATCCCAATACCCAACATAAATAGGTGTATTTTAAATAACCAGATTCTTTCTGCCTATATGAGCAATTGTGCTTCTATCATATTTGGAAAAGCTCTTAATAGGAAACGGAAAACCACAAGCTGGTGGCTACTTCTGGCAGGTGTGGAAGTATAACTCAGCAGCTAAGAGTCCAGCTCTGGAGCTGAACTGTTAATGTTCAAATCCTCGCCCCAAACACCAGCTCCATCACCTTAGATCACTATGTAGCCTCTCTGCCTTGGTTTCTCCATCTGTAAAAATGCAAATAAACATCTCCTCTCCCATATTTTTGTGAGAATTAAATAAGTTAAATCATGGAGAGCACTTAGAACGCCTCACAGAGAAAGGCTGTAACATACACTCTTCATTGAGGTGTAATTTATACACAGTAAATGCACAGATCTTAAGTATACAGCTTGATGAGTTTTGACAAATGTATACGCCCGTGTCACCATTACCCCAATCAAGACGCAGCACATTCCCATCATTTTAGGAAGTCCCCTGCGCCCCT